CATTACGAAAGTAAAAACGTTATGTCGTAAATTTTCTTGCGTCAGCAACTCGTAAGAGATAAAGACCAAACAGTACAGCTTCTCTCTTAAACTTACATATAGTCAAATATTTTAGTATTTATATATTTCTAACGATGGTTCATCTAATTATTATCATGCGGAGAATATGATCTTTCATTTAATTTTGTTAATGAAACTCAACTTTATTCTACTTTTAAACGTTGAATTCTTGTATAACTTCACCTAAATGTTTTTCTTTCTTATCATTATGTTTGTTAATAGAACACGTGTCTAAAAAGATATTAAAAATAATTATTATCATCATACGATAAGACATATATACTTTAGAATATCGACATAAAGTAAAAAGTAAAGAAGAAAAAAAGACTATGGTGAAATTTGCAAACTATTTTCTTCGTTTTCAAAATTCTTATTATGGAAATATTCGATCAGCTAATTCATCATGTCCAACAACAGATGTTAAATGGTGTATAGATGGTTTTGATGAATATAAATTATGTATTGAAAATCCTTCAATACTTCCGACTTGTATTTTGGCTTTAATGATTGGTCTTTTTTGTTCAAAACGTATAAGTCAATTACCAGGAGAATTTCCATCACGATGGTATTATCATCTAACATTTTTTCTTTATGGTATTATGATGTCATCAGCTGGTATATTACATTGTTTTTTAAATGATGATACAAAGAGTTTTACATCATTAGCTGTAGCTATTATTGATGTTGGTTTAACATCAAATATTGCTGTTAGTTTTCTCTTTTGTGGTTTATGTGATATTCAATTTTTAAATCCAAAATCAGCTACGACACGTTGGTTATTATTTACTACATATTCTATTATTTTTATTTTATGGACTTTTGGATTAACAAAACAATGGAGTTGGGCATTTAATGTACTTTATACTGGTGTTGTATCAGTTTGTTGTTTTATTTATTTAATAACACAATTATCTATAAAATCAAAACATCATGCATTACCAGCTCTTTTTGTTGGAGGACTTTATGGTGGTATTGGTTTACTTGCAGGATCATTTGGAGCTGATGCTGTTTGTAAATCAGAAGGTCCATTTTGGTCACAATATTTTGGACCGGAATTTATTTGGTTTCTTTTTTCAGACATTAGTGTAGCATTTATGTTTCTATATGTTATACGAGCTAATCGAGAACAACGAATTCTTGTTAAGACCTATCCTATTGATTTTGAAAAGTATCCTGGTAAACTTTAAACAATTTTTTTTCAATCTTTTGTAAAACAAAAAAAAAACAATTTTTTTTGATGATTTAATAAATAATTCGGACATGTAATAATAACCAACGTATATTTATGCAGAAACAATGGAATATCTCAACCGTCATATAGGTAGGATTGAGTTGGATAGTGCCAAATTTAGGTGAAGATCAAGTCTATACCATCCATGTATTTATTTATCTCTGCATTAGCTTTAGATATTAGTTTAACCTTAGAATATGGTTGTAATCGACTTGTCTATAGCATAGATATTTAATTAAGATGATATATGATTGTAACGATTAACTAAATTAGAGTATATCCGTATACTCATTCCATTAGTATAGAATTAATACGTAACGAATAGTACTTGCACACAATAGATAGATAAGTGTATCGAACGTTTGAACAATGACTTTTTCGATATGATCGATTGAACGGATAAACAGATGTCACTTATATTATTAATAACGAAAAAAACTTATTTGTTATTCTATGTAATTTAGAAAATAAAAGTATTATTTAGAGAAGTCTATTTGTTTTTTTTTCTTCGTTTATTGATTAATATTTAGTTGTTCGTTTATAATAGATCGATTGGTTCATATATTAAACAAATAAAAAGCATTTAATTTTCTTCTTCTTCCTTCCTCCTTAGCACTGTTCTTTGTTCGAATAAACTGTGGATCAATTGTCTTGTTTATGGGATCACTTTATATTGATTAGAATTTCTATTCATGTACTTCCAGATGGCGACAATAAATGATCATCGGCCACCACCGCCTGTACGTGTTGATTCAATCACAGGGTAAAATTTCTTCCCACAATTATTTTCAATAACTATCTACTTTTTTTTGTTTAAGTTCAACATCAAGTCTTGAAACAAAACCTCTTCCTCGTCTTCCAGATGATGAATTCAATAAAAAGAAAAAAACTAATAGTAAAGGTAAAATAAATCATTCTTTATACTTAGAATTTTTTTTTTGTATATTCAATAGATTGGTCAAAAAAAGATCCAGCTAAATTAACTATTTCTCGTCCAACAAATTTTAATCATCCTATACATGTTACATATAATCCATCAACAGGTGAATTTGATGGTATGCCTGATATTTGGTCTACTTTATTACAAAGTTCTAAAATAACAAAACAAGAACAAAAACAAAATCCTCAAGCTGTTATTCATGCATTAGATTTTTATCAACATGCTGCACATAAACGAGAATCAAAATTTATGTATTCATCTTATAAAAGTAAATATTCAATTTATTGCAAAAATAAAAATATCTTCGTTTTTTCTTCTTCAAAGATTTAACACCACCAATATCGGCTGATCTAGCTGATCGATTTCGGCAAACAGTTATTCTTGTATCAGATAGATCATCGCCAGTAATAGAATGAAATCTATATTTATTAAAAATAATTATTTTATTTAGTTACAAGGACAATCTTCAGTTCGTTATGATAATGATCAAATACCACCACCCATCGCAGCAAGACCAGAAAAAACGAAAAGCATTGTATGTTAATAATAGATTTCGATAGAAAATTGCAAGTTTACATTAACTCTTTCATTCGCATGATTAAATTTTAAGGCTTAATATTAAAATTTGTTCAGCAGTGTGTATACGTATTCGATGCTCAGAAGTGCTTGATAAATAATATGATGTAATGAAAAAATTTTTTTTTAGTATACGAAACCAATTGATGATGATAATAATAATAAATCAACAACAACAACAAATGGAGATAAATGTAAACGAAAACAACTAAGTGATGAAGAAATCTTTGCTAAATTACGATTAATTGTTTCACATGGTGATCCAATTAGAAAATATAAGAATAGAGATAAAATTGGACAAGGGTATGGATGTTTTACTTTGGTATGATTAATATTAATGAAATACTATTTCTTTTTTTTTCAGTGCAAGTGGAACAGTACTATTAGCTTATGAAGTAGCAACAGGCGAAGAAGTTGCCATTAAACAAATGAATTTAGCTAATCAACCTAAAAAAGAATTAATTATCAATGAAATTGCTGTTATGAAACATAATAGACATATAAATATTGTCAATTATAAAGATTCATATTTAGTCGAAGACGAACTTTGGGTAAAAAAAAGAAAATTTTATTTTTCTATATAAGTTTATTTTTTTTCTAAGGTTGTTATGGAATATCTTCCAGGTGGATCATTAACAGATGTTGTTACGGAAACAATTATGGAAGAAGGTCATATAGCAGCTGTATGTCGTGAAGTTTTACAAGCTCTTGAATTTCTTCATAAAAATCATGTTATTCATCGAGATATTAAAAGTGATAATATTCTATTAGGAACTGAAGGAAATGTCAGTATGTATCGATATATTTCGATCGATTAATTAATAGATACAAAGAATTGTTTGTTTTTAGAATTAACTGATTTTGGATTTTGTGCACAAATTACTCAAGATCAAACAAAACGGCAAACGATGGTTGGAACACCTTATTGGTAAGAAAAAATTGAGATATTTTTGTAGAAATTAAAATTATGAATATATATAGGATGGCACCAGAAGTAGTTACTAGAAAACAGTATGGCCCAAAAGTAGATATTTGTAAGTATTGATAAAATTTGATGACACAATAGAGAAGCTATTTGATTAATTTTAGGGAGTTTGGGTATTATGGCAATTGAAATGATTGAAGGAGAACCACCGTATCTTAATGAAAGTCCATTAAGAGTAAGTTAATATAATTTGAAAAGAAATAAATAGTGAATTGTAAATCTTAGGCACTTTATCTTATTGCAACGAATGGCAAACCAGAAATAGTTGGTCGTGAAAAACTTTCACCTTTATTTGAAGATTTTCTTGATCAATGTCTTGAAGTTGATGTTGATAAACGTGCAAATGCATCACAACTTCTTCAAGTTCGTATTAAAATATATTTACAAAAGATTGATTATATCTTTATGTTTTCTTCTTCTTCTAGCATCCATTTTTAAAAATGGCAAAACCATTATTAAGTCTTGTACCTTTAATAAATGCAGCGCGAGAAAGTATAAAACGTAATACATAATCATATTCTACAACCGAGTGTCAGATATATTCTGTTTGTTATACTTCTTACTATTTATTCTGTATTTTCTTCTTTTTGTTGATTAAACAATCATATTTACATCTTATTGAAAATGCATGGTAATAATAAACACATTTGTCTAGTTCGCATGATTGTTATATTGTATGCTAATACTATTGTTTATGTTAAAAAAAAAATTATTTGTATGTAAAACTGAATAAATGAAAATAATGTGATTCAATTTTTCTGCTTGAATATATATCTTACATCGAAAAAATGTTGTATTCAATGTTCTATTTCTTTTTTTTCTATTAATGAATGACATGACATATAATTTTTCAATTCGAGGTTTTTTGTTTCTTGAAAGATAATAGTACATCAATGATATATATATATTTTATAAACATTTAACTATTGACTATAAAAAACAGTCTACCATATATTATATGTTTGTCTAACAATTGAAGATTGTTATTCCTATTTCGATTAACAACTGTTGTGAATTAGTTTCCAGGGTGAAGTTTTCGCGTTCTGTTACTTATTCTTTTCTTTATGTAATTGTTTGAAAGCATCACCATGTAATTCCATAATGTCTGTTTACTTCTGACTATTGTTGTCATTATATAGCAGAAAGAATGGATGCTTGTATTCGTAGTCGAGCAAAAACATCATATCATTCGAAACGAAATCAAGCATATGAAACAACATATAAGCGTGAATTTAGTTCAAAAAAAACCAGTAGTAATTGTTGAAGGTGCACCACCTGAACAACGATTTTTAGTTGGTTGTCCATTTAATTTAGCTGATCCTGTAGGTGAAACAATATATACAATGGATTTTTCTCGTACAAACCCTGTTCCAAAACAACAACCTTATTTTCAGAGTACAAGTACAATTGAACGACCCGATTCAAAACAACTTCCTTGTTGTCCTCGACGATATGAAACTTTAAATGATCC